AAACAATCTCTAGTCTCCTTTGTTCACATAAACAAGACAAAACCAACAAACAGAATCACTTAGTATGAAATAGCTCACACTTACCATCATTTTTTTTACTGATATGTTTGTATTAAGAAATAAATATTGTGTTGAAAATAAGACTGACGCTGGGCAGCTAATGAGAAATTAAATATATATATATTGGCCTTATATCCAAAGGAAGTTGCTTGTCCTAGATCTCTCTCTCCAGAGTTAGCTTAAGAGCTTTTTGAGCTTCTGTCTTAAGTTTCTAGGTACTTAATACATAGATAGTTAAAATATGAGTGCTCAGTAAACATTTGTTGAATGAGTGAATGAATGAATGAATGAAAAATAATATTTGCTATCCCTACAAAGTCTCTAGCTCATCCCTATTGGAATCACTTCAGCCCAGCTGTTACCTCTTCCATGGGCCTTCTCTACAGGAAGAGATTTCTCTATTTTCATGCTTATTGGATTTTCTCCCTGCCACTCATGGCCTTGCTACTCAGTGTGGTCCTTGGCCCAGCAGCATCAGTGTCAGTCAGTAACTAGTTGGAAATGGAGAATCTAGAATCTGCATTTTAGCAAGGCCCTGGCGATTTGTGGGCACATTAGAATTTGAGAGGTGAAATTTAGTTATTAATATTTATTTTTTTTTTTTTTTTTTTAAAAAGAGAAAAAGCCTCTAGAGGTATAGATTTTATCTTTGGATCTCTCAGCATCCATAGCCTCTTGCCTTCCACTAAACATCTACTGAGTGGCAACGATATGAATGAACAAATAGAGATTTGCTTATGAGTTTGAATTTGCAAGACTAAAACACCAGACACTGCATGTGCGCTTCCTTAGCACTATGTGGCCTACTTTAAATGATAATAATCATAATATGAGCTACTTATTGAATAACTATATTATATATATATATATATTTAATTTGTGAGAAGGCATGTGCACTCACAAGGCAGGGGTTGGAAGTTGGGGGGGGGTGATTTCCTTTGGGAAATACACCATCACCCCTTCTCTACTTTTCCTTTTGGAATTTTGAGCACACACACACACACACACACACACAAACGTGCGCCTGCCCAGTGAGTTTTTCAAGCCACAGCCACAGGGTCTGGGACTGTAATCAAGCAGTCTGCAATGTAGGATCCAGTCATCTTAACCACCATGTCATTAGCTGCCCCTAAAAACTTTTTAAAATTTTATTTCTTCTGTGAGAGAGAGAAAGGCAGACAGAGACTGGCATCCCCAATAGGGTCTGCATGCTGTGACCCATCCCAGCCTCAGTCAACCTGGATCATGGACTTGTGTACAAGTCGGATGTGTACAGGGAGACCTCGGGATATAAACTTGGGACTCTTCCATGTCACTCTAGCATCACAGAGGTTTGCATTACCACTGTGCCACTGCTTCTGACCCTAATGAATAACTATTTTCTGTGAAACTAAACATCAACATGCATTATCTTACTTTAAAATAAGACAGTCATATCATGAGTTCCTCTTTGCTCACATGCTCTGAAGTGACCCTACAAAGGTCTTTTGTAATTTGACTATTGACTTCTCAAGCTGAACCTCTTCTGGATGGAGTGTGGAGGGGAAAGGCTACATAGCTAGCCATCCAGAACTCCTGTTTGGCACTGGAGTGCCCTGGGGAGCATCTCGTACACCAGTAGCTGGCTAGACCACTATCTACATTCCAGCCGTGGGACTCCAAAGTGGAAATGGAACAAGTCTTAATCCCTTTATTCTGAGACCATCAGGGGACATTCTCAAGTGATTAACTGGGGCAAAATGCTTTATGTTAGTTATTAGATCACACCTCCAAGTCTATCATAAATATTTCATTGCTCGCAGACCCATCCTCTAAAAAGCTGGGGACAATAAAAAAAATTCTAAGGTCCAGAAATTTTGTGATCTCATAAAAAAAAAAATGAAAACACTCTGGGAGTTAAAACTAATAGTATACTTCAATACACTGAGGAGAGTGTTAATACTTACTCATTGCATCAGATGGGCCAGTCGCTCTTCTTCCTAAATGCTTTGCAGGTATTATTCAATTCAAATTCATAACAAGCCCACCAAGAATTCCTTTCCCCTTCGATTTGAAAATAAAGTAATTGGGGCCAGCAGATGGCATAGTGGTTACGTTGCAGGACTCCCATAGGGCCAACCACAGTTCCAGTCCCAGACCCAGTGGCTTGAAATTCATGCCAGGTTCATGTGCATGAGAGTCCAAGATCCCAGGAAGAGAATGGAGAAGGGATTGTGGTGTGGCCATCCCTCCCAGTGGATGATTTTTTCACTTTCCCTCTCACTATATCTATCTCTCTCTTTCCAGCAAGGGTCTCTCTCCAGCTCTAAGGCAAAAACCTCTAAAAAAATGAAATAAAATAAAAATAAGGTGGTTGAAGCACAGAGAGGTTAAGCAGCAAGATCATATAACTAGTGAAGCGAACCCCACTTCTGAAACTCTGAGTAGAACTGTAATTCTTTGTTACCTCGCTATACTGTTATTAAAGGTATTTATGATAGATATCATATTAACTCATACAAAAACACACTTGCTTTTAGATAGTACCTGAAATTTATGAGCAGGTTGTGATTGTGGCTTGCACACCTAATGCACTTACAAAATGGCTCTAAAAAGTCTTGCAAGAAGACATCATCTTCATTTCTGTTAGAATAAAAATCAGATCTTCCAGGATTGTAGGATTTAAAAATAACCTATTGTATTTCCCCTCTTTTGGATCCTATACTTCATCCAAGTCATCAGAAGATGATGTATGGAGGCTTTATACACCTGCTGAAGCATGGGCCATCAGCAGTGTGGTGTGAAGGGAGGAGAAAAGGGCAAAGTTTAGGTTATGGAGTGCCTTGGTGGTTTTTCAAAAGCTTTTTATTTTCCTAGTATCAGGAGCTAACTGCTTTTAGGTCTTGTTTGATTTGTTACAACACTGTGTTAGTTATTTTTGGAGAAGTTTGCATTTCATAAGGGAACTGCCAAGCTATGTAGGCAAAATTTTCTCCAAGAATTTGTTCCCTGAGTAATAATTATAATTATAATAATAAAATCTCATCTCTTGTGGTGCTAGAAAAGAAAGAGCATCATATTTAAAGAGGTTTGGAGGGGCAGGGCTGGCAGTACCAAGACATACTGTTGTATCAGGTGCTTTTTTTGACTGACCTCAGTTCCATGGCAATGATAAGAATGACGACAACAACAAAGGCAAAGTGCTTGATCACGAAAATATACAGAAACCAAAAAAAGCATTTATAAATGCCCAACTAATAACATGTAGGATAAAATTAATATGATTTTAATTTTATGCTTAACTATTAGGTCATTGGGAAAGTCATGATGCATTTTTTGCATAGAAAAACATAGAAAAATATGTCATGACTTTCCTGACCACTTAATACTTTCATTTCCACTGAGAGGACTAGTTCCAGAAGAATTACAGTGAGCAGTCTTTCTAGTACAATTAGTTATTGTAACAGTATATTAGATTTTTGCTAATGACTATAAGCTGGATAGAGCTATTTTTTTTTTTTTTTGAGAGATTTTCGCTATAGGGCGCGTGCGCTCGCCAGACAGACAGAGAGAGACAGACAGAAAGTGAGAAATCACCCCCCAGGGGGGATGGTCACGCCGCAATCCCTTCTCCTCCATTCTCCTCTCGGGATCTTGGGCACGCATGCACACGCGCCCGGCGTGAGTTTTAAGCCACTGGGTCCAGGACGCGAACCGCGGTTGACTACGTGGGAGTCCAGCGACATAGCCATTACGCTAACTGCTGGTTCCCGATTTTTCTTTTTTTTTTTTGAGAGGTTTTTGCTATAGGGTACGTGCACTCTCCAGAAAGACAGAGAGACAGAGAGACAGAAAGCAAAAAATTACCACCCAGGGGATATGGCCGCGCTGCAATCTGTTCTCCTCTTTTCTCCTCTCAGGATATTTGGCACACATGCACATGCGCCCAGCATGAGTTTAAGCTACTGGGTCCAGGACTTGAAGTGCGGTAGACTACATGGGAGTCCAGCAACATAGCCATGATGCCAACTGCTGTTCCCACTAGAGCTATTTTTACTACTTTATAAATTGTCTGCATACTAACATACTTTTATTTCTTCCAATTAATTGGTTAATTATGCTTTATTTCCTATGAAATATTGAGACAATTTTCAATAGTATAAATGATCACACATCAATTTTCCTTTTTTCTAGTTGAATATATTTCAATCCAGATGAGATTTGGTCTTAATAACAGAGAAATGGGTAAAGATTTTGTTTAGGGGTAATGTCTTCTTTGTGCAATTAAATCTTCATCATCTGATTTTGGCAATTCATTTCTCCAGAATCAAAAGTATAAATATATTTAATAACGACTTCCAAATATCTTAAATCTATCTTAAAATATCTTCAATAAATCTAAGTCTGTCTATTATCATTTTTGGACTAATTTTTTTCTACCAAAACTAAATTTCTTTACATAATATGCCAAATTTTAGAATATTTCTCCAAGTAGAAAAAACCAGCAGATAATATAAATTGCTGTCAGAGTCTAATAGATTGAATATTCTCTTCTGTTATAAGGATTTAGAGAAATTTGTGGGCCACTTTACAGAACTTTCTTGAAAGATTCCAAAGGGAAATATTTAAGATAGTGAATTTCAGGTAGTGAAATATTTAAGATAGTGAAATTCAGTGACTAGGTAAATTGGGGGAAAAACCCCCCCAAATCCCAAATAATTAGACATTAAAAAATATACATTACATGCATACATATACTAACAACAACTAAAATCACACACCAAAGTTTGAAAAAAAAAAAACCTACTTCAGACTAAACTACCAGTGATATCTGCAGAAAAAAGCAGGCATACGAATGGGGGAAACTGACCCAAATGATCTTCTGTGTCACTGACACCAGGATGTCACCCATTCTCAATGAGAAACAAGAACTTTCCAATAGTGTGGGGCAAAGCACTGACCTTTTTTGGCGAGGCTACTATTGGGCTCATATTTTTCAATCAATACTTGAACCTGTTCCTGTTTTAGAGGTGGGTACAGTATTTCATTTAGCCGGGGATCTCTCAGCTTCAGATTGATAAAATCCATCATCTGATCCACCGTAAGGTATGGTTTGCTTTTGGCACCACTGAAAACAATGAAACACCAAGAGATTAAAATTTTACTGTATCAAGTTTTCTCCATATATTTACATGTAGCTATTGGGAAACAAAACCCTTCCAATCCTGGTAAGAGCAGACTGTATTAAAATTCTTACCTTGGCCTACTCTTCCAATATCTTTGTGTTCCTCTATCTTTTGCAATCACCTCCACTAAATTCCAACTCCCCTGACAAAATGCTTAAGGTGTTAAAAAATCCACAGTAGGAAAACAATGCTTCATATATGTGGATGTCTCATTCTAAATTGAACAGAAAGGTATGGAATTTTTTAAAATTATAACACTAAAGTTTTAGTTTAGTCTTCAAATTCTAATATCTGACTTAATAATTTAAAATTATATTTGTTATCATTACTAAAAAAAAAAAAAAATTAAGTAGATATCCTGCTTGGTCATGATTGTCTTTTCATTAAAGTTATGTCTTGGTTCCAAAAGGTGGTGTGGTGGTTAAGGCACTGGACTCCCATGTGACTGACTACGGTTCGAGTCCCAGATTCAGTGGCTTGAAACACATGCTGGGTGCATGTGTTTGTGTGCCCAAACTCCCAAGAGTAGAATGGAGAAGAAGGGACTACAATATGGCCATCCCCCCTGGGGGGTGATTTCTCACTTTCTGCCTCTCTCTTTCCAGAAAATGCATGCACTCTATAGCAAAAATCTTTAAAAACAGGACCAGCAGATGGGGTAATGGTTACATTGCTGGACTTCCACATAGTCAACCATGGTTCGAGTCCTAGACCTGGCGGCTTAAAACTCACAGCATGCATATGTATGTGCATGCCCAAGATCCTGAGAAGAGAATTGAGGAGAAGGGATTTCAGTGTGTTCATCACCCCTGTGGGGGTGATTTCTCATCTTCCTTCTCACTGTCTCTCTCTCTCTATCTATCTGGCAAATGTACATGTCCTATGGCAAACACCTTAAAAACAAAACAAAACAAAAACAAAAGTAAGGGAAATTGCTACTTCTTACATTTGTCTTGATGTTTTTGGTTTGTTTTGTTTCTTTTCTTTTGTTTTTCCAGTCTGTTAGAAAAGAAGTAATGCCCACCCAAGTTTATAATGTCCAACATAAAAGCCAATAATTTTCCAGCTGGGAGAATTTTTAGTAATTGAAACTCCTCCTTTCTCTAATGCAGGTCAGAGATGTAAATGACTGGTTCCCAGTCCCATATTAACCATGCTATATAAGTTTATCTCCACTATGCCAAAATGCATTGCTGTTCTGTCCTAATCTTCAAACGACATAGTCTCCTGGGCATACTAAAACAAGTACACTTGGCAATAAATCTCAGCAGACTTCTCATTAAAAGCTGTGGTTGCACCTCAGGAGCAAGAATGTGTGATTGTGTCTAGCAGATCACACAGAAGCACTGACTTTAAGACATTGTTTACAATGCTTTTCCATCTCCTTTTGCTATTGCTCAAAAATCCTGTCCTAGGCAGCCAAAGTATCAAGGTAAGCTGAAAAGACAAGACTGGGTTAAAATGTATTCTCTTACAATTCAGAAAAGATGTTATCAATTTCTGGTCGAGGGCAAAGGTTGTTCAGGAAAACTCTATACACATCTGGAGTGAAATCTTCTTGAGGTATTGAATCATTCTGAAAAATAAAACAACAGTCAAAAAATGGTCTTTTTCTTTCCCGAACTTCCTTCTGCCCTGTTTTCTTCTCACTGTTATTTAAATCCCTCCCTCCCTGAAGTCAACAGTACAGTTCACTTGGAAACTGGCTTTGGGTGTCAAAACCTTCATTTTCTGTCGCTTTTTCCTTTTAAGAACTTTTTCTGCTAAAAGGATGTGAAGGCAATTGCCTAAGTACATTTACTAAAGTAGTTAGAACTAGTAAAGGCAGAGTTTAGCAGATTTTTTTCTTTTGGTTTGAATCACTTTTTGATGGTTCTTTTTAAAATATGTAATTATCAGAAGGTCTATGTGATCTCCAGAGACAGAGAAACAGAAAGAGAGAGAGAGATGGAGAGAGAGAACCTCCATAGTGTCTGGTCACTCTGCAATTCTCTCTCAATTTCTCTATCCTGTCCAGATTTGAGGCATGCAGACAAATGCACCAGGCATGTTTTTAAAGTAGCCAAGGTCAGAATTTGAAGCATAGTCAACCATGTGGGATCTGGCTGTCTGGCTGCTTTAGGTCCACTAGGTCCTGAAGTGGACTTTTTTTTTTTTTTCCTTAAATACTGGTAAAATATTTATCTACTTTCATAAATGAATTTTTAAAAATAGTGGTAAAGGATACATAACATAGGGACAGGTGTTAGCTCAGCAGTAATGTAATTGGACCCTTGAAGGAAAGGTCCTGGGTTTGTGTCCCAAGCCTTCCTGAGCATGTCAAGTACACTTATGTGTGCCCATGACCCACAAGACTGAGGTAAACAGAGGCATGGAGACCCTGTTAGGGATGCCTAGCTCTCTCCGTCTCTCTCTTATGGAAGAAATAGATAAATCAACATAAAAATATATGCACAGTGGGTCAACCCTGTGGACTAATGGTTAAGGAAGCCAGCTCCTACATGGCTGACTACTGTTTGGATCCTGGACCAAGTGACTTGAAAAGCATCCCAGGCACACATGGATGCATGCATGCCGCAAATCCTGAAAGGACAAAGAAATAAAAATGGGAATGCAGAATGACCACATCCCATTGGTCAGTGCTTTCTTTTTATCTCTATCTGTCTCTCTGTTTCTCACTGGTACATGTACACACTCTCTGGCATTTTAAAGAAACATAACATGTACCATTTTAGTAAGTTTTGAGTGTATGGATCAGTGGCGTGAAGTACATGCATATTGTAGTGTTGTTTATGAGCATTTCAAATGAATGTTTTTTAAGGTAACAACCCTAGAGACTGACATTGTCAAACTGGAAATACAAATTTCATTTTGTGTCTTTTTTTGAACAATGTACCTTCTGGTTTAAATAATCCGATACATTGTGAAATGGTTTCATAACTAGGACAGCACCAGTCATTATTTTTCACGGATTGCTCCTGGTCCTATTGTTTGGGAAGCATGTCATTGATATAAAAGACCACTTTTATGATTTATTTTTTTGTTTGGTTGGGCTGCCATGGAAACCGGAAGCATGTTTTCAAGACTTTCTTAACAGGAAGGACATTATTCATGCAGTTTTCCTATTTTAGGTGTGTGTTTATATGATTATTTTTATTTTCAAGTTCTTAAGCTGAAGAGAACACCCTTCCTTTCAGTATATTCATATGTTTTGAAATGTAGTATTATAGAAATAGCTAAAAGGTATTGTCTGAAATTGTACACTGCTTGTAACAGATAAAAGGCTCACTACTTGGCAGGTAGAAGAAGCTCCATATTTGTGGAATGAATAAATAAAGTAACATATCCTTTACTAAATTTGTTTATGAAGAAGGAAAAATTTACTTTGTAAAATTGAATTTTATGATGATCAGACAACACCTGAATTATTGCATACAGAGAGTGGTGGGCTACCTGGACACAAACTCTGAAACCATGAGCCTAAGTGGTCAAATCAGGAACAATGGGACATTTTCATGGATCGTTTTATTGATGTTCTACCACTCATAAACTGCAGACAACTGCAAATAGGTTTCCAAACATTCATTTGGTTTACTAAAAGAGAGAAACTGCTTTGACTAGAGGATGCACATTTTTCAGTGCCACCCTGTTTCTGAGTTAGATGCCCAGGTCTCTTTCAATAGTTTTGTCGATAGTTGGAGATGACCCTGTGTATCCCACTCTTTGGCTGAGAGATACAAGGAAGAGAAAGATTTAAAATCAGTTCTAAGAAAATACTCAGTGGTGCTGCTGGCTGATTTAAGTGCCTCCTTCCCTATTGGAGTTTATGAATCCTGAGTGTGTTTTCCCATTCGTTCCACTACACAGAGCTCACTGCACCCCCATCCAGCCTCTCCCAGCACACACGTAAATTGATTTCACTGAAGGATAACAATAATTGTTTTCCTTCTCTTACTGATCATTTTCTTATCTTAGTTTAAAATTTTTCTCAGGAAAGCCTTGCCTTCCCCCCGGACCAAGCTTTGTCTTCCGTTTGTGCTCCCGTCATAGCTTGCTTGTCTCTGAACTCAAGACTCATGTAACGGCATTGTAATCACAGCTGTACGGTTTTCTCTATTCCTTGCTAACCTGCAGATGTACGCTAGCCATGACATGTGTGCTGCTTGTTAGCTGATCTGTTTCCAGTGAAACTTATTGTAGGTATGCCATCAATACTGAGTGAATGCAATTTATGAGAGTGGTGGAAGTTGATACCAAGAACCTCTGTGTCATGTGTTCCTATGGAACATCAGATTTAAATAAAGTAATTTACACAAGATTCCAGGCACATGATTCCATAGAACATGCTTGCCTACAATCTAACCATTGTTCATTTACCAGCTGTGAATTAGGACTTTCTATTAAAGGGGACACATTAATGAGACAATCAGAAAATATTGCATTATTTTCAAAGAAGTGGGTTTATCTCATTTTTCTCTTCTACAACTTGACTGGTAAAGATATTTCAAAGTCTTCAGGAGTGAATGGGTAAAAAGAGAAGAAAAAATATTTTACAGAAAGGAATTAAAATGAATAATCATCACTGAAAGACAAAGTGAAAGGGTATAGGAAGAATACTTAAAGGAAGCTCTGGACAAATCCTACTTCTGTATACCTCCTGCATACTTCTATGTCCCTGATTCTGGCTGGTTGAGTCTGGGAGAAGATCACTGAGTCAAGGCCCTAATGGGGGTACTGCCTCTCTCACTTATGGAAAAAATAAACTGGAAGAAAAGAAAGAGAGAGAGGAAGTTCATTTCTAGTGTTCTAATAGACAACTGTGAACTCTTCCTGATCACACCAGTTGGGGATAGTAGAGTTTTTTGTGTGTCCACAATCTATGTTTCTATACCTTCATTATTGTATCACACAGCTGGTCCTCCTTTTTGTTTTCTAAATTTCTTTTTTTTTTGGAGAGATTTTCACTATAGGGCGTGTGCGCTCGCCAGACAGAGAGAGACAGAGAGACAGAAAGCGAGAAATCACCTCCCGGGGGGATGGCCACACCGCAATCCCTTCTCCTCCATTCTCCTCATAGGATCTTGGGCACACACGCACACGCACCCGGTGTGAGTTCTAAGCCACCAGGTCCGGGATGCGAACCGCAGTCGACTACGTGGGAGTCCAGCGACATAGCCATTATGCTAACTGCTGGTTCCCTGTTTTCTAAATTTCTGATATCCTGCTAGACTGTAAATGTTAGAAGTGAAATGACATTCTGACATTGTCTTGTTTAATTCCTTTGAGTTCTCAGCATGACACTTGACATAATCAATATTTGCTGGATGAACCGAAGAGATGGGATCAAACTTGAAGATTTTTGTTTTCAGGGATAGGACTTGGTCCTCACATCACACACACCAAAAACAGATTGTCCATGATTATTTGTTGCTAATGTGCTTTGAACTTTCTGAAGGATGAATGCAGAAGACCAAGCATAATCTGAACCAGTATAATCTCAACTAGGTCCATTTATCTAGAAACTGCAACGTATTGGCAAACTTGAAAATATGGAATTGTTTCAACTCCATTCTTGTATACAAGGAATCTAAACAGGGAAAAGATGTTTACAATAGTGATGGTTATACAGATGGTACTTGCATTTCTAGATTCCCATAGATCTGGTAATGTAATTCATACCAGCTAAATTAAAGATAAGGAAAAGAGACTTGCACATGCAAGAGAGTCTTCAAAAAGTTCCTGGTGAATGACTATCATGAAAGATTATGAATGGATTTCTAATTTTCTGGTACCAAATAGACTCATACTTTAATTCTATTTTTCAAGACACTCTTTGAAATCCCTTTTACACATATGAAAAAATACTTGAAAATAAAAATTGGGACCAATAGTTGGCATAATGGCTATGTCACTGGATTCCCATGTAGTCAACCATGGTTTGAGTCCTCGACCCAGTGGCTTAAACTCACACCAGGCACGTTTGTATGTGTGCCCAAGATCCTGAGAGAAGAATGGAGAAGGGCTTGCGGTATGGTCATAGCCCCGGGGGGTGATTTCTCACTTTCTGTCTCTCTGTTTCTCTGTCTTTCTGGCAAGGGCATGTGCCCTCTAGCAAAAACCTCTCAAAAAAAAAAAAAAAAAGTCCCCTTTACACCTATAAAAAAATTCTCAAAAGGAAAATAAAAATTAATATTCATTGAGCACTTACTGTATGTCAAGCATACGATGATCTTTACTTGAATGCTTTTATTCATATTTAATCATGTCAAGTTTGTGAGAGTGGCATTATTACTGTGTCACCTGTTTTTTGTTTGCTTGTTTTGTCCTCTCTTGCATGCATATATATATATATATATATATATACACAATCTAATGAATAGAGTTTATGTATACAGATTTTTCTTGACAGATTAGTAAATTATTTCCTAGTAAATTCAGAAATTTAACCTATTTTCAATCTTTTTGTTCTAATACAATAAATCAAAAGTTGTATTCACCAGAGAGTACATGGAACAATGAGTACTCATAATAAAATGAAAACTTTCTCTGTGTGTTGGCTTTTCTTTTTTTTTTTTT